TTACAGGGTCCTGTCACACTGGAAACGCTGCCATGGACGTGGGCTGTCCATGCCGTTATCCACTCCGGGGTCGAGTACGCGTGTGAACTGCACTGAAGCTAGACTTTGTACTAAATCCCCCGACTTTGGCACGATATGTTTTAATTGAGATTATTGGTTTTAAGGGGGTGAGATGAGTGGTGGTTTTACATGCACGGTTGGTATTGTGGTGGTATTGTGACTTACCCAATGTGACAGATGCAACACCTGGACCACACACGACCGCCATAGTGCCTGTAAAGTGGCGACTCCCTCGGAGCCCGATGGGATTTTATTACCTACAATTGATAAAAATCACTGGTCTTGTGACTGGACATTCTGATTTTCAATCCAATTATTGCTAAGAAAGATAACAAATATCCAATTAGGCAGCTAAAGGGGAAAAACTGTAACTAGCACTCGGGATTATCTAGTTCGGTATTATGTTACCATACAGGTTCTTCCGAAAATCACACCATCGATGCTTTGAATGATCCCATCGTCCTTGCGGGGGGAAGTACGTCAGTGCCGGATCATCTCCCCTGATCTCCGTTGCAGGCGGGAACTATTTTGTACTAATCGATTTGGGATACAGTTACAATGTACAGCAATTCCGTAGGGTTTATGGTCAAATAGGAATAGAAAATATGATCTTCATCGTGTATCGGGGAAATATTACAATTAAATACACACCCTTTTCAGTCTTGGCCTTCATGTGTTCAACTGTTTTAGCCCCCAGTCTCTCTGGAATTATCCAATTATCTCCTTTTTTTCCCTCTTTCGGTCTTTTTTTTAATCTTTTTATCTTTTTATCCTTTTTTTTTTTTTTTTTCCTTTGTTCCCCACATTCTCTCTCAACTTCATATATCAGCCGCTCTCCCACACTTTTTGTTCTCTTTTTCTTTCTCATAATTTAATTCTAATTTCCTAAACATATTGGCCGTCCATTGAATCAGATATTCACCATGGCGACGAAGAAGCCCAATATCCTCTACATCATGGCCGACCAAATGGCTGCGCCATTGTTGTCCTTGCATGACAAGAACTCGCCCATTAAGACCCCTAATCTAGACCGGCTCGCCGACGGCGGTGTAGTCTTCGACTCAGCCTATTGTAACTCACCACTGTGTGCTCCCTCGCGCTTCGTCATGGTCAGCGGCCAGCTGCCCTCCAAAATTGGAGCCTACGATAACGCGGCGGAGTTGCCTGCGGACACCCCCACATATGCTCATTATCTCCGCCGAGAGGGATACCACACAGCCTTGGCCGGAAAGATGCATTTCTGTGGCCCGGACCAGCTTCACGGATATGAACAGCGTCTGACCAGTGATATCTACCCTGGCGATTACGGCTGGTCGGTCAATTGGGATGAACCTGTACGTCAATTTTACGAACAACCGTATGTAGCACCTTACTAATTGGAATATAGGATATCCGTGCCGACTGGTATCACAACATGTCTTCCGTGATGGAGGCAGGCCCTGTCGTGCGCACCAATCAATTGGATTTCGATGAAGAGGTGATTTACAAGTCAACCCAATATCTATATGACCATGTTCGGCAGCGCAACGAGCAGCCTTTCTGCTTGACTGTCTCCATGACCCACCCTCATGACCCTTACGCCATGACCAAGGAGTTCTGGGACCTGTACAACGATGTTGAGATTCCGCTACCTAAGAACGGAGCTATTCCCCACGACCAGCAGGATGCGCACTCGCAGCGCGTGCTGAAGTGTATCGACTTGTTCAACAAGGAGATGCCCGACGAGCGCATTCGTGCCGCCCGTCGCGCCTATTACGCCGCCTGCACATACGTTGATACCAACGTCGGCAAGTTGCTGCGTGTTCTTGAAAACACTGGCTTGGCCGACGACACAATTATTGTTTTCACCGGTGACCACGGTGACATGCTCGGCGAGCGCGGCTTGTGGTACAAGATGACCTGGTTCGAGAATTCAGCCCGTGTCCCTTTCCTCGTCCACTCGCCCCAGCACTTCGCCCCGAAGCGTGTGTCCGAGAACGTTTCCACCATGGATCTCCTTCCTACATTCGCCGAATTGGCTGGTGCCAAACTCATCTCCGAGCTTCCTCTCGACGGTGTTTCCCTCGTGCCGTATTTGACCGGCGGCGACGGTCTCCGCACTGATACTGTCTATGGCGAGTACATGGGCGAGGGCACACAGGCTCCTCTCATGATGATCCGTCGCGGCCGCTGGAAGTTCATCTACTCAACCATCGACCCACCTATGCTCTACGATCTCGTGAACGATCCAGAGGAGAGAACCAACCTCGCAGCCGGCCTACCTATCCCATCCAGCTCCACCCGCGCAGCCATAGTAGCCAAGCCCACCAACTTGACATCCGTCAACCTGCCAACTCCAGACGACACCCCGCACGCATCGCCAATCCCTCAGCGCCCCAACACGGCAGACTACCCCTTCCCCTCGAATACTCCCCCTCGCACCCCGAGCCCCGCTAAGCTCCCGCCTGCGGTACCGAACACCACCGACCCAACTAAGATCCTGGCATTCTTCCTCGAGGAAACCCATGCCCGTTGGGATTTGGACAAGATCCACCAGGATGTACTGCGTTCCCAACGCCGCCGCCGCCTGGTCTACTCCGCCTTGATCCAGGGTACCCAGACCGTGTGGGATTACGAGCCGCGCACCGACCCCAGCACCCAATACGTGCGCAACCAGGGCAAGGGTGCACTCGACGATGTTGAACTCATCTCGCGTTGGCCCCGTGTGCTCCAGCAAGCCGCTGCTGCGAATGGGATGTCTTTATAGATCATCCAATCGGGTTTTCGTGAATATGCCACTTGGCTCGAATATTCGTTGAAAATATTTGATTGATTGATTGATTGACTGCTTTCCCCCACCCCCCGTTTTTTTTTCCCTTGCATTTCAGCATCATCATTCATGTTGTTCTTTTGCGGAATTCCTGGCATTCGTTTTATTCGGGTTCCATTCTCTTTTTTTTTGGTGATCATGTTTTCTCTCGCATTTTTACATCTCTTATTTTCATGCTAAGGGGCGCGCTATACCCGGGACTTATTTCCCCAATTTGCATCTTTTCATGCGGGTCGGTTTTGGCTGCATGGATTATTTTGTACATAGTTGTGCTTTTGGTCCCCCCGGGTTGGGTGTTTTGCCCTGTAAATTGTTGGTATTGGATTCACATTAGGTAGATACAATATGCAATCAGACTGTCAATTGGATTTTGTATTGTTGTTCCACCTTTGTCTTAAAGCTGTTCTTCCAGTACGATAGTACCAAGCAATCCTTCTCGCCAAAGGGCCGGATAGTGGACGCGCTTGCCTGCCGAGACATCACAAATCAATATGAGGCCGGAAGTTCAAGGCATGGGGCAATCAGGATGGTTTGTATCAGACGCATATTAATGTGGGAGAGACGTGGAGCAAGTAAACAGGATCTTAGGCAAGGCTTTTTCTCCACGAGGCCGACAACCTTCACTCCAGTCAGGCCAAGACTGGGCAGCTGTACTGCCACTAAAAATATAACGGTTAGTCTCAATATGTGTTCAAGTCGAAGGAAAATCATACATTGACATTGTTTATAACATTCGTTTCCAGAGGGAGAGATCTACTCCATTTAGTAGCCACGTGTGGACGATGGAAAAATGGCTCGAACCAAGATGCGAGTCTAATAGTCCTCCGTCCAAACAATTCGAGGCAAATCTGGAAAAGGGCCCAGGTCAGGGCTCTTGGGGAAAGAACAACCCTTGGTTCCCCCTAGTAATGGTGCGCGTTTGCAAAGCAGGGGCACGATCTTCAGTGTCTTCAAGGGCACTGTGTCCAATCTTTCCCGCTTGGATTTTGTGACCGAATAAATCATTTTCTAAAGTCTGAAGGCTTCACTGTTGCCGAAAGGGTCTTTGGAGGAGTCTTAGTGCTGTGTGCGCAGTGAGGACTGCCATACCGATGCTTGGGGCCAGGCTGGGTCTTCCTCGAAGGCGAACTCCTGGATCGCAAGATCCATCTTTCATGGGCTTATTCAAACCTAAGACATCGGATCGTTATATCCGGCTGTATCTTGGCCCGTAGATATAGTCGAATAAGAGGTTTTGAATGAAATAGTCCGCTACGTCTCGGCAGGCGAGCGTATCCTCGATGATGTCATCGCCCGGGCATTGCAAGGAAAATCGACCTGGGATGGAGACCATCTCTATTAGAGAACCGAGTATCATATCTCAAAGTGATATAGCTCCTTGGAGCCCTGGGTTATCCAAGAGAACAGCCGAAAAGTTAAAAAGTCCACCCGAATCCGAGGCGGCAACTGAGGAGACTTGGAGTACCGAAAGATTTGGAAATTGTTCAGTGAGAATAAATATATGTTCAGGACCAAGAGAGTCGGTGGTAAGGTATTCGGAGAAGGGACAAATTCGGGAGATCGATGTGGCTTTGCGAGCTCAATCACAGGGGTTGGAACTATATTTGTAGCTATTGATCTTAGACCGATAGTAGCCCGGATAAGGAACCCTTTTATCCTTGCTTTTAAGAACAGTATGGAGCAGTTCGGACAATTTACGGCGACTAGGTGGAAATATCTCGATTGTATCGGTTGCGACTTTTGCTCCAAATGTTACAGGTTTGTTTGTGGAGGAAAATAGACATCCGCATTCTCAATGCCAATATGAGCTCAATAACCGACTCTCGGGTCATTACCCCGGTCGTAGAACCACAGGACACCTCAAAATCCAAAGCATAACGCCAAAGTTCTCCAAATGCCAAAATGTAATTCTTCAAATCTTGAAAGTTCACATTTGATATTGTGACACTTCACCCCCACTCCCTATATTCCTACCCTTGTCAATATAAAGTCCACGGCTACCCCACAGCCAAGCTTCCAAGCACCCATGGTTCCCCTCAAAGCCCATTCCGTCATAGTTCAACCAAATTCCCTCCTCTTCTCCTCTTCTCAACTGTAACTCTTAAAACCACAACCAAATATCAATCCCAAAATGCCCTCTCTCACAGTAGCAGTCGCCCAATCCCGCACACACAAGTCCCTAACCGAAACCCTCCGCGCTCTTGAACGAACAACAGCCCTCGCCGCCCGCCGGGGAGTCCACCTCCTCCTTTTCCCGGAAGCCTATCTAGGCGGATACCCGCGGACATGCACCTTCGGCTCTGCGGTGGGAAGTCGAGACCCGCGCGGCCGGGATCAATTCCTCGCATACTTCAAAGCAGCCGTTGATCTAGGTGACACACCGGCTGGGGCCGGGGATGAGTGGATTGATCGCAGGCTGGAGATTGCGGAAGGAAAGAGGTTCCGGGGGGATGGGACGAGGGAGTTTCTTGAGCGTGTTGCGAGGGAGACTGGGGTCTTTATCGTTACGGGGCTGGTGGAGAGAGCCGGTGGCAGTTTGTATTGTGCCGTTGTTTATGTTGATCCTGTTAGAGGTGTTTTGGGGAAGAGGAGGAAGGTTATGCCGGTATGGGTTTCTTTATCCTTTCTTCTCCCACTCTATTATCGATTCTATACTGACCCTTGTAGACGGCCGCTGAACGCATGATCTGGGCCCAGGGTTCCCCCTCAACCCTCCGCGCCGTCACAACAACCCTAAACGGTATCCCACTAACCATAGCTTCAGCAATCTGCTGGGAGAACTACATGCCCCTCCTACGTCAGAGCCTGTACTCCCAGAACGTCAATATCTATCTCGCTCCTACGGCTGACGCCCGCTCTACCTGGCTCCCGCTCATGCGCACCGTCGGTATGGAAGGCCGCTGTTTCGTGCTCTCGGCGAACCAGTGCGTGCGCGGCTCCGAGCTGCCGGAGTGGATTACCGGTGGGAATACCGGTGCAAGCCCGAATCGAAATCCAAATCCAAACCCTCCTGCGGGTAAATCGCAGCATCCTGAAAGGAAACTGTCCATCACCGCTGAGGGTCCCCATGAGATTGTCTGGCCACAGGCTCACTGTGAATCCCAGGATCAGCGGGGTCAGCTGGAAAATCCCTCCATGCCGAGTAATAAGCATCCTCTGGCTCCCTCGGAGTCCGTATTGGATTACGTCTGTCGTGGTGGAAGTTGTATCGTCTCGCCGCTTGGAGAGGTTCTTGCCGGTCCGTTGTGGGAAGTTTGCACGGATGACGTGCCGGATAGTAGCGATGCTGCTGTGACTGATTCCGCACCTGGCACGTCGGCTAGTGAGTCTAACCCTGCTGTTGCAGCCGGTGATGGGTTGGCTATCGCGCGCATTGATATGGATGATTGTGAGCGTGGACGACTGGATCTTGATGTTGCTGGGAGTTATTCACGGAGTGATGCGTTTAGATTCGAGGTTGAGGGGTTGGATCTGGCGCCGCCGCCTTTGTAGGAAGTCGGTTTTAGTGAGTATGGTATATAGTGTTGGTTGAGTTTTGATGTGTTGGATATGGACTGAAAGTAATAAAACGAAGAAGAGGAATAGGTATATGAGTTTGTGGATCAGCTACGAAGAATGCCGCTAAGAAACATCGAAAGAAAAACTTTCTACTCAAAAAAGCACAATCATCACAGAATCCCAGAATCTAGTCATCAAGGCAAAGAGAAAGAAAAAGAATAAACATTGGCCCAAAACCCAACTGCAAACTGCCACCGCTGAACGACTGAAACGCCTCAGGATATCAACGGATATTAACAAGTCATGATCTTCGTCGCCATGCCAGCATGTGTCAGCTTTGTCCGTTTTCTCTGTACACTCTCACATCCTTTTAGATCGAGAACCACTACCAGCGATTCCTGATCTAACCCGGCAGTCATTTATATACCGTTTATTCCACCAGCCACACAGGCGACTTGATCAACACCGTTGCAGGACCCTTGCCGCGCACTTCGACGGCCAAGAATGCTGCGAACCGGATACGCGGGTGGCTCTGAGCTAACTCCGCAGACTCGCTCTTGTCCTCGGTTGGTCCAGGCGCCGGCGCCGGACGACTGATCTCGCTAGGGGCATGCTTACCCCTGATCAAGGCGCCAAAGATAGACTTTTTGCTGGGCTTTTGCTGGGCTGGTGAGGCGTTCTCTAGGACTCCGGCGGTTGAGCCGGATGAGGCATCTCCCTCTCCTGTGGCAGGGTCCTCGAACTGCTCTTGGTCTGAGGGTGGTGGGGGCGGGTGGCTCAGTGCCGGTAGTTGGCCTTCGACCTTCATGTATTGCTCGGCGAGAGAGATGCCGGGTGGGAAGTAATCGACGCAGACATCGCGGGCTTCGAGGGGGATTTTCTCGATGATATTGATTGAGTTCTCAATGATCATGCGCACGCTTGCTTCCAGATCTGGCGACGCAATTTCCTGCAGCTGGGATCCCATGAAGGCAGCGAGTTCCACGATTAGATGCTCAACTAGTTTAACGCGATGTTCTTGGGCTTCAGGTCCGACTAAGGAATCACTCAGTCCGTCGAAGGTTGTGCGGCGCCAGTAAGAAAGTCTTGCGGAGGCATTCTCACGGTCTTCTTCGGATGACTGTCGCTGCCGTCGTAGGTTCATTTCGACATTCTTCAGCTGCACACTGAATGCTGGATCCAAGGATGGATGGAAATAACGCTGGAATACTTCTTCTACTAGCCATCGGCTGATTACCGCCCGACCGACTGCTGTCATTTCTTTCATGCCGACCGATAAAGCATCCTCAGTGACCATTCCATTCAGCCACGATGGAATACTGCGCCAATGTTTGCGCACGGAGAATGCTAGATCTTTGATCGCTCCGTCAAGTCGCTGGAATCGGTTGCTATATTCATTATCGTCAAGTACGGTACGCGACACCGCCATCCGTTGGTGCGCGACCGTGTTCTGGAGATGCTGAACCTGCGCATCTTTCTCAAAGTAGTATCGTTTCACCTTGGAATACTTGGCCTCTGTTTATTGTTAGTTATCAAAAATCAACAACCGAATTCCAAAAAAAAAAGCCCTTACGGAGTTCATCATGCTTCTGGATCAATGCCCGCACGTCCACTTCCCCGGAATCCTCGCGGCGGTGTATATTGGTGGGTGTGCTCCGTCCGGGTTCAGGCATGTTGTTTGACACACTACCCTGCCGACTCCGATTTTGCTGTGGAGAACCCGCCGATTTTTGTCTGTCCAGCTGCTGAAATTGACCCTGGTTCTGTGATGCCTGCGCGGAAGACTGCATGGCGTCAGGATAAACGGACTGTAACGGGGAAAGCGGCTCATGAGTCTGCTGGGATGGGGGCCGGGTATTCAATACCGGATCCTGGACAGGGGGGAAAGCCTGTCCCCGATGAAGATGTTCCGGCGCGTGGTGTGGTGATTCGGGGACAATATCGGTGGGCGACGGTCGGACGTACTGTTCAAGCAGAGTTGGGTCGGTGCCGGACCGCGGGAGTTTGGTATAAAGGGGTTGCACCGGTTGCTGCGACCACTCGGGATTGTCTTGGGTGTGAGCAGGATGAGAAGGTCGGGGACCTCGTTGGGGCTGTTGGTATTGCTGTTGGTAGGCGAGAGATTGTGGTGCCAGAGGTGAGGGGTTCTCCGCGTAGGAATGGCGGAGATGTGTCGGACACTCGTCGGACTCGTCTAGGGTCTCTGGATGTAAAATTCCAGGTGAGGTGGGTTGTGAGACGGGAAGGGAGATTGTTTTGCCCTTAACAGAGACACTGCGCTCGACACGGCCCTTTTTGCGCTGTGAGTCGTCGGGGACAACGTTGGCGGTCGAACGGTCGCTCAAAGGTTTCTGACGTTGACTTTGTGACCGACTTAGAGTCTGCGGCTGATTCTGTACGCCGGCAGAGTACTCGAATTGTGAAAAGCGCCGGTCTGTATCGTTGGGTATGTTGGGGTCCGGTGGAGCAAACGCGGGGCGGGCCAACTGTTCGGCACTGCGCATAGAATGATGACTTGTCCGATTCGAAGGCGACTTGCTTTTAAAAAGGTTGCGCATCACTGCTTCTGATGAGCAAAAAAAAAGGGGGGGGAGGGAAAGAGAGGGGGAGAGGCTGATTTGGTGGACCTGGGGTCGACGGGCGATGATTGGAGAGGTTGTTCTATATATAGGGTAAACAATGGAAGGGCTTGGTGGGCTTGCAAGTAAAAGTTGATCCACCTTTATATAACCTCCCATTGCACTATCCAATGTCGAGGATACAGTCCCACTCAAAGTTACATTTTTGTAGCAGAGTGTTGGCGTGTTGTATCGGATAGGTATCTATAGCAGGGCCAATATGAAGCTACAGACTGAGAGATTCCAGCTGTCTCAAGTATCGGAGTCTACTAACGTCACTAGCCCTTCGCCTTAATATATAGAGCTGTACTACATATGTAGATACCGAGATAAGATGATAAATTCGAGATATATAGTCAGTCACCCGAAGCACAGGTGGCAAGTAAACAGCTTGTCTGGTGCATCGCTAAGACCACCGTGAGCGGCTTAAAACGGCGTCAAAATCGGCTGTTTCTGGCTTCCTATCATTCACCTATCAAAGAAAAGAGAAACAGTTGATAGAACAGCCCTGCAATTCCCTCGGTCATTCGAAGTCGAATACTTTTGATATGGAAAAAAGGAACACGAGCCATATACGAGCCTCGTCATCTACTGTACATACCATACAGCGGTTATAAACCGCCCCCAAATTCCCCAAGAAAAGAAAAATAAAAATAAAAAAATAAAAAAACGGATCCGCTCTCGATGGCGAAGCAAATTATAATTCTCGTATGAAGTACCATTCCCCATACCAAGAATGGTACACTCGAAATATGTGATGCCCTTTTTCTCAGCCCCGGACCAACGCGTCCATGGCTAAGCTCAAGCACAGACACGTGTGCAGAGTACGGTGTAGTTAGATAAAATCTCAATGCATTACTATTAGGCCCTCCTATTCCATAACTCGAATGCAATAGTTATTGACTCCTGTCTAAAAACACAGCCTTCTCCAAAAACCCCACTACCTCTATAATCCGCCTGAAATCTGAAATCCTGCTCCGCATCTATAGTACCCGTCAACGCTAGCGGTTCCATTAGTTTTCCTACTAAGGGAGAAGGAATGGTGGCGCCACCGAGGTGGATGAGCATCGAGTTGATTCGTTATTCTGCGTATCGCTTAGAGATTTGGTGCAGCTCAGCTACCACCAGGGTGTCTTCTGAGATGTAGATGCGATAACGGCAGGATAATTCTGTGGTATTGGTGCCGCCGTGGCCTAGCTCGAGCATCCAGCCTTTGGTTGGAGGAAACTGTTGATATGTTAGCTTGAGGGGAGTCTAATTAACAAACCCGGAAAAAGAAACTCCACCCACTACTACATTGGCTAGTGCGTTGAGTTTCTCTATCACTCGGTTAGGTGGCACATGCTTCCCTGGCATCGCCGTTACACGCAGTCGCGGCTATACCGGCCCTTCTGTGCCTTCAATGTTAATCTCAATCTGCTCAAATGGATCGAGCGCGGACACAGATGTAAACGAGCCGTGTTCCTTGGAAGTAAGATGCCCCTTTGCATGTGGTGTAGTGATAATGGGTACATCACGCCTCAATGTAGTCTCGACCTTTTTATCAAAGTGGTTAGTAACTTGCTCAATACTCAATACCTCGAGCCTCCGAGACTCACTCATGATAGTGGGAGAGAACGACCAGATCAATCCAAGGAAGGTCGTGTAGATAGACGGCCGGGTTGGTGAGGCGCTCACTTGACACACTTGGACCAAGGTGGACACGATCGCCTGCGCGAAGGAAGTTAGGCTAACACGGTCAGTCTGTGAGAATTTGACTTCCAAAGTTGTCATCAAGAGCTGGGATCAGTCATAACCCGTATTACAGCCCATTCTCTGATTTTTTTAGTACACGCTGGAAACCTTTCTAGCTGTGAACACATGATTGTTGTGGCCGTTCCCACGAAGAACAGGGTTGCGTTCTCCTCGCCTGACTTGGATGGAGTAAGCTTCGTCGCCTTGGCTGGAGAAAGTTGAAACGGGGCAGAAGTTTGCAGTGGAACGTCTCGGGCTGGAGGATGATTCCTGGTCGGGTCAATGGTCAATCGAGATACGCTTCATGGTATATAAGTATTTAGCGAGAGGATAAATCGTAGGAAACGCAGGTACTATAGCCCTAGCGAGTCATATATATAAGTCTACGTATAAATGTCATCACAATTAACAATAAGGGTTCCTGGTATGGCCTCCCTTCACCCTCAAGTGTTACCCTCGATGCGATAGCTGAATCGCCTAACTCTAGTCTACATGTGTAGTTTAGCAGTAGTCTAGCTAAGGCTGTACACACCGTCCATCCCTTGAGCATATTTTTGAGTTGAGATCAAGGACGTAAACACAAGGGCACTGCAACAATTGACCAATAGACATACATGTTATTGAAAGCTATTTCCCGCATCG